CGACCCGGGCCCTGCTCTCGCTGCGCGCCGTCCGCGAGATGCGCCTCAGCAACGGCAAGCTCTACTCGGCCGGCGCGGGCGGGGACGCGGGCGGCGCGCACGGGGGCCCTCAACGCCTCCTGGACGACCCAGGGCCGCCAGGCGGGTCCCGGCCCCTCGCCTCCACCCCCTGCACCCACGTGCGCGTCTGCCAGGAGTGCCGGCGCATCCAGGCGCTGCGGACGTCCGGGACCGGCGCGCCCCCGCGTGGCCTGGGCGCCCCTGCCGAGGCCGCCAGTCCGCCCCGGCCGCGACCTGGCCCGCGAGAGCTCACCGAGCACGAGTGACCACGGGCAGGGCCTTGCAGGCGCAGGGACGGGCCCGCCCCAGGCTCTGGCCGCCCAGCCTCCCCTGCGATCGAAGAACTGGACTTGTGCCCTGGCGGCCGGTCGCCACGATTTTGCCTTGGGTTCCGGGTAAAGTGCGAGCCCGCTCCGGAGCCGGCCTGCGCCCCCTATTGGAGTCGCCAGAGTGTGCGGCGGCCCCCGCACTCTGCCCCCGACTGCGGACAGGAGGAGCGCAGGAACTGAGAACTCCAGGGGCCGGGACTATGGGCTTATCCCCGGAAGCGGGAAGCAGTCTGCCAGGAAAACCCTGTCCTGGGACTGCTCAGGCTCCCAAGACTTGACGCAGCTCCCCACTTCTGGAGGAGGGCCTCTGGGCAGATGGGTGTCCCCTGGCGCCCCTCGCCTCTTTTTTTCTCTCTTTTTTGGGGGGAGAAACTTCGGAATTTCTATGAGACACCCCCAAGGGAGCGGGTCAGTTGGGCCCTCATCCCTCCCCCTGCCACACCCCAGTCCCGTTGGAATAAAAAAAGAACAAAACCCCCAAACCGGGGACACCCCGAGTTCATTTCCTGGGAGCGTGAGGGCATTAAAGGCTTGGACCGCCCAGGGAGTCTGCTCAAAACCACAGACTGGATGGTCACTTTTGCACTCTCCATCCTTGGCCCTGCCCACAACCAGCAGGTCAGCCCAGGTCCCGGCAGCTGGCCCGTCTCCACTGACCTCTCAGGACAGAAGGAGGCTGCGACAAAGACCCGGAGACAGATGGAGAGAGATGCGGGAGTCTGGAGAGGCGGAGACACCAGGAAACACGCAGAAAGACAGAAACCAGATGGGGCTGGGGGAGGGGAGGACACGTGAACCGTTCAGTGTGGTGGTGCCTGGGGGCCCGTGTGCTGGTGGTGTGTGCCTAGGCAGGGATGATTGGCGACGTTGCAGTCATGCGCATATGTGTGTGTACATACATCCATGAGGCCATCTTCAAACGTCTGTGGCCGACCCAGTGTGTCTGCTGAAAATGTACCTCCCCGGCCCCCAGAGAGGGAGGATAAATCCCCGCAGAGAGGGAAGAGGGTGGGTCTGTTTTCTGTCCCTCCCTCCCCCGCCCAGCTGGAGGTTTCTGTGGAAACTGCAGCTGAGAAAGGACGAGTGAAGGTCACGCAGCGAGAGCCAAAACAAGGCCGAGTAGGAGGGGAGAGGTGGGGGAGAGAGAGAATGGGAAGAGACCCAGATGCGGGGGAGAGGTGGGGAGAGACAATGAGGGGTGCAGAGAGGGATAGGGAAGGAGAGTTCGGGGCAGATGAGGTGAAAGGATGAGAGAATGGAGGGCAGGAGAGGGATGGGCGGAGGGGGAGACAGGAAGCAGGGAGGGTAAGATACCTGGGAATTGAGGCTGAGAGAAGCAGGGATTGAGGTGGAGCAGCGAAGGCGAGAGACAAGAAGCCATAGGGAACTACAGGGTGACCGGAGGGGACTAGAGCAGTGAGCAAAGCCAAACGGACAGCGCGAGGCAGAGAGACTGGCCCTGCCCCTGTGGCCCAGAGCAGGGAGCTGTCCGTTCAGCACCGGACCGACTGCAGCACGGCTCTGTCTCCCCGGCGGGGCCTGCCTTGGTAGAACTCGGGCAGGTCACACCCCAAGATACCTGCCTATCACACAGCACCCTCAATCCCCATTCAGCCCCTTCTGTATCAGACACTTGCCTTCAGGGACAAGTGTGAGAGTGAGCTTGTGTCTCAATGGTTCTGTTGTCTCCACATGTCTCTTACAGACTCTAATCGATGTCTCTGCCCTTGGCCCATACTGTGAGTCTGTCCAGAGACTAGACTACATTTGCAGACATTTCTAGTCTCTCCCAGTCCTGGTCCCAATACCACACTGCTGATCATCTCTGGGTTCTTCCCATTTCCGAGTCTCACCCCCACCCCCATTTCTGCTCTGAGTCTCTCCAGTCTTTATCTTGGAGTGTCTTCAGTTTTCTAACTGTCTGTGTCCCTGTGTCTGTGTCACCTTCACTGAGTACTTCTGTTGCTCTGTCTCCCTCCACCCATTTTCTCATCTCTGTTTTTGTCCATCTGTATCTGCCTCTCTCTGGTCCTGGACTATGTGTCCATTTCTCCTCTTAGATGCCCCTGTCTCTAGTGCTGAGTTCCCCTGTCGTTGTCCATCCCTGTGACCTTCCTAAGTCTTCCCCCCCAATTCCGCAGAGCACCATGCACAGTCATCAGTCTCACCAGGGTGGTGCCTGAGGAGGGAGTGCGTGTCTAGCGTGGGGTGTGGGGACCAAGGCTTCCCGAGCCCAGCTGGAGAGTAGGAGGAGAGAACCTAGAATCTCTTGGGACCCGGACACCTCCAGGCTTCTCTGTCTCTCCATCCCTTCCCCATGGTCCTCGCTCATTCCTGCAGGCCAATGTGTCAGGAGAGGGAGGAGATATGTTGACAGGTTCTCTCTTGCTCCCCCAGGAAGGAGACAGAGTTGGGGAGAGGAGCCTGGGGTCCAAATACCTGGCTTAAAAAATGTGCCCTCCCTTCCCCAGTCTCCATGGAGACAGGCCAGGTCTGCTGGCCCAGCCTCCTTTGCTGCATATTCGGCCTCCCTGTTACCATAGCAACAAGGGACAGCAGAGAGGGAAGGGGATAGGTCAGAGTAGGGCATTGGGCTGAGGCTCTGGGTGCTGGGAGAAGCCAGGAAACTGCCTCCCTGCCTCCTACTGACACACCAGGCTCACACTGCTCCTTGCCTGTGAACACTCCCATAGGTGGAGAGGAGACCCACATTCCGAGAAAGCCACAGGGACAGGTTCTCTGCTCCTTCTACTCTCCTCAGGGAGAGTCTGGAACATTCCTCATAGAGCCCAGGGGTGGGGTGGGAGGCCATGACTCCTCGGGTTCCACTGGGTGACTGCTGGGGTGCTGGGTGTATGTGGCAGGCCTGGGGTATGGGTGCCGGCTGTGTGTATGTGCATACGCATACCAACATGGATGTGTGTGGCGTATGGGTGAGGACGTTGGGGTGTATTTGGAGGTGCCACAAAGGTGTACACAATAGCACCCCAATAGATGGTGTGTACAGCATGGGAGGTGTGTGGGATGGCATCGAGTGATGTTTCTGTGAATTGTTGTGCTGTGTGAGTCCGTCATTAACAATTAGCAACCATAATTTGTCATTTTGGCACTGAGGGCCTTTGTTCATGCCCAGATATACTGGGGAGGAGCATATGTGATGGTGTGTGTGTGTGTTGTGTGACCATGCAACAGCGTCCACAAAGGCTCCTGTGGTGTCTGGAGGCAGTGTGAGGCCTGTGGTGTGCGATGACGCTGAGTGTGGATGTGTGTTGGTTCTGTGGGTGGCATGGTTTTGGGTCTCTATGTGAGCTGGCACGAGGCCAGATATGGTATAGTGTTCCGAGGGGGCGTGTTCATCTACAAGGCACTTTATGACTGTGATTGTGTTGTGGTGTGGTGGTGTGTGAGGTTTGTGCTATGTGCATTTCATTTCTCCGTGTTCGTGAGGCTTGCTTGAGGTTTTGTGAGGGGGCAGTGCAGTGTGTGTGAGTGAGGGTACTGTGATTGTCAAGCTGAGGTGGGGTGTGATGGAGTGGTGTGTGTGTGTGTCCCCAGGGTCTGGGCTACCTGGGTGACCGTGGCTGTGATGCTGAGTGCGGCCTCTGGTTGTGATGTGCCTCCTGTGGACCTGTGCAGTTGTGTCTTATTGGATGGCTCTGCCAAGGTGAGGGGCAGGAGGAATACACACATTTGAGGGGCCTCAGGTCTCCTCCCCGCTCTGTAGCACCCCCTCCTCATTGTGGGGTCTCCCTTCCCACTTGTGCCCTTTACAGCGCCCCCTCCTGAGCAGAACCCCCACGCAGTCTCCAGCCGCCGCCCCCCTCCACTGCGTAAAAGAGGTGCTCTGGGCCCCCCGCCTTGCTGCGGTGGTTTACCGGGCTTTCCCGCACCGGGTGTCCACCTCCCACAGCCCAGCCCTCCCCCTCGTGGCATACCCCACAATGAGGGGAATTCCGGGGCTCTCCCTCCCTCAGTGCCCCCTCCTCGGAGGCGCCCCCACATTGTGAGGGTCTCTAGGTTTTTCATTGCGGGGGATCTCCGGGATCCCCCTCCTGCAACGTTCTCCCTTGGCGGAGGCTGGGGGCGGGGAGGACAGCTGCAGTACCAGAGGCGGGGCCGCGGGCTGTTCGTCAGGGCGGCGGCGCCCCTGATTGGCCGGCGCCGGTCCCCCCCGCGGGCGCGGGCATATGAGACAGCGGAGGCGGCGGCCGCCGCAGACCCTGTGCGGTAGGGCTGACGGCCGACGGACGCGGACGGCGCGGGCGCTGCAGAGACCCCCAGCCCGAGCCCGCGCCTGAGCCCACCCCGAGGCCCCTTCCCCGGCCCCTTCCCCGCCTGCGGGCCCGTGACCTTTGAAGCCGCCAAGATGGGGGTAGGTGCTCGGGCGGCGGGGCGGTGCGTGTGTGCAACCTGGAGGGTCCAGTTATGAGCGCGCTGACCCGGCCCGCGCTTGCCGTGTCTCCGGGGGAATGTGTTTGGCCACCTGGGTCGGGGTCTGTGCCGCATGTCGGCGTGTCTCTGTGTGCGGGTCCGCGGGGCACGGACCGGCCTCCGCATCCCTGCCTGCCCGATGCTGTGGCATGCCCAGCCTCTGTGCGTGCGTGTGCTTGTGCGCGCGTGTGAGCTCCTGGCTCTGCCAGGCCCTGGGAGCACCGTCTGCCTGCGATTGTGTAGCCCGGTGTGTCTGACCCCCTGCAACCACGTCTGGGTGTGTCTGCCGGCTGGTGTTTGTGTCTGGGGGTGTTGAAGCCCCTCTGCTTCCCTGGCCGGGTGGGGACCAGATGACCTCTCTTTCTCCTTCCAGGCCTGAGAGGGGGAGGGGGTCTCTGCAGTGCGGTGCAGTGCGGCCTGGGGCTGCGGTTGTGTTCAGCCCTTATCTGGGGGAGCAAACATTGGGGCTGGGAGGAGCAGGAGAACCCTGGCTGGGGACGGAGTGCCTGGCTGAAGGCAAACGTTTGCAAATGCGTGGTGGGGGGCGGTGGGAGGGGGATCCCGCATGCCTGGCTATGCCCTTGCCTCAGTGTCCGTGTGTCCTTGTCTGTCTGCGAGTCTCTCCAACAGATGCCGCCTCCTTTCCTGGCTGACCACCTGACCCCCAGCAGCCCTGGATTCCTCCCTGAGTGCCTGGGGCGCATGGGGTGGGGGAGGAGAGGGATGGGAGAGCGGGTGGGCTAGGCTGGGTGAGATGCAGAGAGAGGGTCTGGGTGGGAGAAGCTAAGAAAAAGAGAATATGAGGGATGGGGAGAAAGATGGCGGATGAACAGCTGATGGGCCCAGGGATGGAGGTGGGGGATGGGGTGTCAGATCTGTGGATTGAGGTGGGTGAGGAGGGATAGGGAGAAGAAATGGGTGGGGAGAGGACTAGGGAGAGGAAGGGGAGGTGGG